ATCTTGAATTTGGCTGAAATTTGAGATCCCATAGATTTAGGTTTTCTTTGGGCTCTAGCGGCGTCTACAGATTTGGGAGAGATCGATCCTCCTCTCGAATTGAGGATCAATTGTATCTTTGCTGTTTTCCTTGATTTTCTAGTGAAATACAAGCTTCTACTTGTGTTTTTTCTCTACGTTTTCCCTGTTTCCTGCTGTTTGGCTGCTGTGGACAGCAGTTTACTGCTGAAATTTTACTGATTTTGGTGAGAAACACTTGGAAATCCAAGTGTTTCCTATCAGAATCTTTGTGAAATTTCATGCAAGAAAATTGGGGCTAATTAAAATCATACATTCCCCCATTGAGACAAATGCTTATAAGCTGGATATTCAGAAAGTTATGCCATTAGTCTAGTTTTTAATGTATTTGATTTGACTTTATTTCATGATATGGCAACTAATTCCTTGAATTTTTCACTTTTTTTATCTCATTATGAATTCACATCTAAGTATGTAACATTTGCAAGATAATTTTACGTATCTTGTTCCTAAAGCAATTCTAAGTTATATTGCAATAAATGGTTTACGTTGTTTCGTTCCCATAAAATCTTAAATTTGGCTCTTATAACGGGTTGTGATATCCATTAAATCCTATGCCCACGTTGGGTTTTTGTAGAGGGTTGCTATATATATATATATATATATAGAGAGAGAGAGAGAGAGAGAGAGGAAATTGATGCATCAATTTTGCATTGATGCCAAATTGACAATGCAAAATTGATGCATGATATGTAGCTGAATTGTAAAATTAATATAAAATTTAAAGAAACAAATAAAAATAAGTTATCAGACAACAAATCTTCAAGATGTGAATGTTAAATCCCAAACTGTTGAATCTTCAAATAAGAAAACTTAGAACCCAAAACAAAGATTGCAGAAAATTTTGATTTTTTATAATACGATTTTTAAAAAGAATATAGTCATTCGTAGATTTATCCTAATAATTACATGTCCACACTACCCCTTACAAGGTAATCATCATGAAAATATAAACTAACATAAAAACTAATAATTCATATATATATATATATATATATATATGGATCAATCATCAATAGAACGAAACATGGCACTCCATAATTGTCCTTATATATCTGGATCAATCATCAATAGAACGAAACATGGCACTCCATAATTGTCCTTAAAATCACCTTTCTTCTTAGTAATTTCCTAGTGCGAAGTAAATATGGCTAAACAATACCAAATATAAGTAAAAGAAAACTTCCATGGAGAATCATTAACCATTTTACGATGTAATTAACCTAATGAGACAAAAGATTAAGGGGCGCCATATAATCATTTACCGTCAAGTTTTAAAGTATGGATTCATTTGACATGCTATTAAACAACCTCGGAGTTAAGGAAGAAGTTTGATTATTGACATACCACTTGTTTGAAAACCTGCTGCAGCTGAGAATAAGGATGATTTGATCTGGTGGTCACATAGTAGTTTGTGAATGTATATCCCATGCGTTTGTCAAACTTCTTTAAAATTTTACGAATGCCTGTAGCATTCGTATCAAGAAACTTAAGCAACTTTAAAAGATCTTGCCCAACTGCTCTATAAGCTTCTCGTAATTCACTTATTTGAGATAGCTCTGGTTGTTCTAAAATAGCTATGTGTTTCTCACCCAGTGCTTGAATTCTACTTGCAAGAATCCCTTGTTCTTCTAGAAGAAAAAGGACAATTTTTTCAATCTGTGCAAAAGAAAACAATAAATTTAAAATATGATCATGCATTTATACAAAGGAAATAAAACTAGAAGATACACTAACTACTAAAATGAGAACCAATATTTTAACAAAAAGGTGAACATACATTCAACTTTCAAGTTCAAAACAATGACTTTGGACATAAATCTTTTGATACAGTGCAGGTCTTTAAATAGGACGGCTCCACAAATGCCAAAATGGTCATATAGATCAATTACAAATAGTAAATTAGACCAAAACATAATTGAATAAAACTAATTTTGAAATATTTTTAGGCCAATTTCAATTTACGCTGAATTTCTCTTATATTTTTAATTTGAATTTTTTTTAGTAGTTTTTTTTTGGATAAAAATAGCTTTAAATATAAAAATTTGTTAGGATTCTATTAGCATTTAGATATTTGGTCTTCTCATCATCTCACGTTAACACTTTCTTAAAATAAGGACAACTTACATCCAATTGATTGATTAGTAAATGAATTTTTATTATTTGTAAGGCATATTAAGTGCTCTTATAATCTAAGTAATGCGCATGGATCACTATAAGATGTGGACAAGGAGGTTTATATTCTCTTCTCCACAAATTTTGATACCAAGAGAGATTATGTTTTTATCATAATTTAATTTGTTTCATTGTCATTCCATCAAGTATTTCTAAGACTCTAGATGAACCAAAATAAGCTAAGCACTAACTTGTTCAAGATTATAGATTTATTTTCTCATTAAAATTGAGTCAAGCTTGAAGATTTTCTGAATTGTAAAAGCTTGTTCAAGCTTATCTATTTATAAGGCATATGAAAATGGATATAATCAAAATCTAATTGAGTTTGACTAATTATTGTTGCAACTCGTGCTCCCGGATTTATGATTTTGATGATAACAAACATTATTGATTGTCTATTTCTTCTAGTATTTGTAGTGCATATTTGTTAGTGTATGTACTAACATTTAATATACATCATGCACCATTCAATGAAAATTTAGGGTATTTGAAAAAATAATTTTGAAATACAACTAATCGTACACCACAAACACCATATCATACTGGGCGATATGTTATAATCAGAAACATTGTTGTTCATTAAATTAAGAAAAATTTTGAATTTTAAATGTTATTCTATATGTACTGCACGAACCTAATCATATTGTACGATGTTTAAAATATTGTAAAATTTAATCCTGCGATTAATCAACCAAATCTGTTTAATTTTGATTTTTTTTATCGTACTATACAAACTATATCATAATGTACGATTGGAAGAGATGATATTTGGTTGTCCTAGGATTTGTCATAGACGAACTGCAATTCGGTTGAACTAATCGTATTGTATAATTGTTCATTTGTACTGCACTAAATGCTAATCGTACAGTACTAACAGGCAAAATTGAATTGATCATATTGTACTAACTGTACGTGTACAGTATGGAAAATGAAAATTTGAACAGATTGTACTACATTAACTGGTGACCGTACAGTAATAACAGGTCATTCTAGGTATCTTACTATACGATCTTCTGATTGTAATGTACGAACTGTGACGACTGAATTGAATTTTTAGGATTTTTTTAAGCCCTCTATTTAAGTTTTCTCATAAAACTTTGTAAGTCCTTTTGGTATTCATTGAGTTATTTTCTTCTGAAGAAAACTTAAAGAGAGAGCTTATAACTTGAGAGAGAAAGGGTGGAGTTTGTGAGAGAGGGAGAAGAACCTTGTGGGTATCAAGGGAATATGTGAGGGAGTTCCACACAGTTGCTCCGGCAAACTTGCACCTGACTTCCTCTATGTGTCAAGGTTTATCTTGAGGGAAGCTCTCAGAAGAAGACCTCTTTGGTGTCAAACGACCCGGCTACTCCACACAAAAAAATGTGAACGTGATTCGAGATTCTCTGCCTTTACCAGGAGGGTGAAAAAGGATTTTATGTTCTCTGCCTCACCAGGAGGGTGAAAAGAATACGGTCCTCTACCGCACCGGATTGGTGAAAGATATTTTATAAAGGCTCATCCGCCTAGCTGTGGGGTCAAAAGGAGAGTCACTAAAGGTTTAATGTAATACATGGAGAGGAGGATTCCGGGGAGTGGACGTAGGTCATTGTTTGACCGAACCACTATAAAATTCTAGTGTGCTCATTCTAATTTTTATTTTTTGTGTTTTACTGTTCTGCAATTTATTTTCCTGAAAAATGCATGTTGAAAAATTTGTGGCTAATGTTATATTAAGTTGATTAAATTATCATTACTATTATTGTAATTGTTATTAAGTTTATTAGCTTCTGCATCAGATGATCAAATTTTTTATTTTAAGCTAGTGAAAAATTTCAACAATATTTTTTTGTGCAAAAAAAAAATTTAAATAACCAATTCACCCCCTCTTGGTGTGCCTAGGAATAGTTTAACGAGGTCTTACAACCTCCTCTGAACTTTCAATTATATGTTTCATACTTAATGCGGACTGGAACATATGCGGTAGTAGAGAGATATAAAGTTTAGCATCCAAATTTTATAAAATGATCCAACACACAGACAGATATGAAAGAGAGGTGCGAAAGTCATAAGACACACCAAAATTTTTACATGGAAAATCCTAAAGAGGAGAAAAATATAGCAGTTGAAATGATTCTACTATTGCTTGTAGTCGATTATAAATGTTGCCCTTCCTCGGGGGAAAGGCCTAGACTTATTGTATCATATATTGCACATTACATAGTTGGGGTTGGAAGAATCCAATAATAAGGGAGTGATTCTCAAGGTAAAATTGGCATGTTCATTTGGTTGGCAGGATGACGGAGGTCGGAGGGACCATAGTTAGCGGGCGATGGCGGCCAGGGGGAACATAATCGACGGGCGAGTGGTCGGACAAGAAATAGTTGGTGTGCGACGGTGGTTAGAGAGATCGTAATTGACCGGCGATAGAGGTTGGCGCTACCATAGTCGGCGGACCACGGTAGTTAAAGGGACCATAGTTAGCGGTCAATAGTGGTCGAATGAACCGTAGTCGGTGGGCGACTGAGGTTAGAGGGACTAGGGTGTCAATATTTGACACGACCCAAACTTGACCCAAAAATTTTGGGTTAAGGTCAACCCGTCAGAAAACGGGTCGATTTTGGGTTCCAAATTTTGACCCGATTGAAAAATCGAGTCGAGTTTGGGTCAATCCGCTAACCCAAAATTGACATGTGTATGACCCAGTTCCAAATTTTGACCTGCTTCCGCACGGACCGCAATCCCACTAGCGTGCCCCACCTCAGCCCTCTGCCAATTCACCTGCACTACGCTGTCACGCGTAGGGTTTTCTTTTACTTTTATTATGTTGCTTCCGTAGGAGTCACAATTTTCGCGTTCTCCGCCTATTCTTTCGTCATTTTGGGTCGAAACTTATCCTTCGACGACGTTCCTTCATGTGGGTCGGAAGTCACGGCAGCTCGCTCGTCGTTCTTTAATTGGATCAGAAGTAACGACAATGACAAGAGGGAGTTCGTTGTTCTTCCATTCACGTGCTTCTTCGGCCAAATCTTGTAAGTTATAGGTGGTTTTGGGTCGGGTAGGGTTAACCCGACAACCCAACGAGTCCAGTCTGGGTTGCATTTTCTAACCAGTTTGCAAAAAAGGGTCGGCTTCGAGGCCGTGTCAAATAGTGGTGGGTCAATAACAGGTTCGACCTAAACCCGACTTATAACCCAATTTTGGCACCCCTAAGAGTGACCGTAGTCAATAAGAGAAGGAGGCTGGAGGGACTGTAGTTGGCGAACGAGGGTGATTGGAGGGATTGTAGTCGACGGGCGAAAGAGGTTGGAGGGACCATAGTAGGCGGGTGATAGTGGTCGGAGGGACCATAGTTGGCAAGCGACGAAGGTCTTAGGAACTGTAGTCGGCTGGTGACGGAGGTCGGATGAACCATAGTCGACAGGCGACGGTGGTCGGAGGAACCATAGTCGGCAGGCGACGGTGGTCGGAGGAACCATTGTTAGCAAGCTATGAAGGTTGGAAGGACCGTAGTCGGCGGACGAGGATGGTCAGAAGGATTGCGGTTGGCGGGCGATGAAGGTCGTAGGGTTGGAGGACAATGTTGGTCAGAGGGGTTGTATTCGGTGGGCGACAAAATTCATAGGGATTGTAGTCGGTGAGCGATAGTGGTCAGAGGGAGCATAGTCTGCGGGCAACAATGGTTGAAGGGACCATAGATGGTGAGCGAGGGTGGTCGAAAGAACCGTAGTCAGCGGGCGAAGGTGGTTCAGGGGATCATAGTCGGCAGGTGGCAGAGGTTGCAGTCTGGTGGCGATCCCACAGTTGTCGAGCATAACTCCGGTGGCACTCGACAGCTGGGTGGAAGTCCATCAACGATCGGTGGAGAGGAGGTAGTCCGGCCGCCGGGCGATGGTTCGGTGATGGTCAGGCCGAAGTCCAAAGGCGTTTCATAGCCTGGTGGTAGCCTGATAGCGGTCGAAGGGCGGGCAGTGGTCCGACGATGGTCAGGCGGAAGTTTGACGGCTGTCGGCGGCCTGGTGGAAGTCTGGCAGTAGTTGGCGGCCGGGTGGTGGTCCCAAGATGGTCTGGTAGAAGTCCGGCGACGATCGGCAGCCAAGTGGAAGTCCGGCAATGGTCAGCGGCTGGGTGGTTGTCTGACGAGGGTCGACGGAGGTTCGCCGACACTGGTGTTGGAGCTCTTGAAGTCTCATAGCTCAATAATCTCCTGCCAAAAGGTCCCTGCTCTAAGCCCCCTTTCATATAGAGAGTGAAGTTTATTTATAGATTTTCGTGAGTGGCACACCTTATAAATATATAGAAGATCTGGTGAAGGTTCGGAGTGCTCCATCGGATGTCCGTATTGATTCCCCCAATCATAGAGCATTTTTTTAAGTATTTAAGTGCATTAATGATGTTGGAATTCAGTGATCTTAGACTCTTTGAATTCATCTCGCCGAGCCACTCAATTTGACTATAAGCATTTGATTTGGATATTATTTGGTCATAAAATTTATGCTTTAAAC